GCTTGGAGCCCGCGTGAGCCCTCGCTGTGCTGCCCACCCTGGTGAGGCACCGCAGTGACCCGAGGTCCCCCTTTCCGCCTGCAGCAGCACCGTATGGTCAGCCATGTTTTCCAGGGCTGTCCGATTAAGTCACACTGGGCTGCTAATTAGTGCTAATGGCAACATAGACCACCCAGTTCAGGTAACATTTGCCTTTTATGGGCGTCCTCCATTCGAGAGGCTGGTTGGAGAAAGTCTGTTGAGGCAGGAGGACATTTGAACACTAACACTTCTTAGAAGCCAGCCAAGAAGGGAATAATGCCCAAATCCTGGTAAGTGAGGGCTCGATGTTAACACCTGCCCTGATCATGTGCGCTTTTGCACCCACTTTTTTTTTCTTGAGTTTTGAGAAAGACAACGAATGAGGGTGGAGAGGTGCCCTGGCTTCCTCTCAGCCTTGGATGCCTTGAGTCACCTCCTCCTTGTCCTCTCTTCTTCTCCCCCTGCCTTGAAATCAGCATCAGCCTTGGTGGATTTTTTTTTTTTGACTGTTGCTAGGAAACTATTGACCAAGGTCAAGTGCACATGCTAATTCATTAAGACTTGTTAGCAGCACCTTCTCCTGTTGACCTTCCAGTTGTATTCTCAAGCATACAAGGGCAAAGGAAACAATTGTTCCGCTGCTGAAGGAGTCTGTTTTTGTGAAGGGTTCCTGTTAAGGTATTTTGAACTGAGAGGTTGCCCCTCGCCGGGCCACACCTCCTCAGGGAGTTGCAGCCAGCTGTAGTTTTTCTAGGATCTGAGTAGCAAGGGATGGAGTTGAGATAGGATCTGAAGTCAAGTAGACAGACTTTAGGATGGACAGATGTTTACTGAGGGCCTTGGTTTCCCCCAAGTGGATCAATCCCTGGCTGGAAGAAGTGTATTCTTGGCATGTGAGGGAGTGAGTGGTGATGGGGAGAGGGGGAGGGGAACATTGCACTGGAATAGTTAGCTCTATTCTGTTCCCGTTTGTGTTCTGGAAAGGACTAGACTGTAAGCCTCCTCATCTCAGAGTGTCCTCCTGGCCTGCCATGGAAGATTGTACATCCCAGTGAGGACCATTAAAGCCAACTTTGTTCTTTTTTCTATGTTCACAAAAAGGGGGGGGGGGTGCTTGGCAGACCCTCTAGGTCAACATCCCAGAAGATTATCCAGAGGAATAACCTTAGAACAAAGGATCTACCAGGAGAGCAAAGATGGGCCCCAGTGTATTTCACCAAGCAGACCTCCCCGACAGGAAGCTTTCCTGAAGTGAGTGATGTGAAAGGAACAAATGTTCCTAAACCTCTGCCGTGCCAAGTACCATACAGTGATTGGGTTGAGTTGTTACACTTGTTCCCCTGATAACACTTTCGGGTTTCATTAAGCACCAGCTACACACAGGAAATCGTCTATGAATAAGAAACAGGGCCCGGCCGCACAGCTACGCTCTTCTGCTTCATTTTGTTGGTGAACCAGGATGAGTTTCGGTTACTGGCCCAGGTCACAGATCAAAGTCTGTCTCACAATTTCTCATCAGCTCGTTCAGTAAATATCTTCAAGTTGCTCCTATGGGTCAGGCACTGTGCAAGACACCGGGAATATAGCAGCAACTGAGACACAGGCTCTGCTTGGAATAGACACAGACCCTGCCTGTGCAGAGTTTACGAGCCACTCTAGGCTAGTCCTTCCGTGCGCCCTCAGCCAGACCCCTCCAGGCCTCCTCTGTTCACGATGCTTTCATCTGAAGCCTTATGTAGTGTCTCAGTATCTCCTGCTCAGTAACAAATTGCCCCAGAACACTGACCTAAAACAAACCACAGTGGTCATCTCACAGCGTCTGTGGTCAGGAATCTGGCCTGGCTTGGCTGGTCCTCTCCTTTAGGGTCTCTCAGAGGCTGCAGTCAAGTGTCCCTGGCCTGCGGTAGCCTTCAGGCTCTACTGGGGAGAGACATATTCCCAAGGTCATTTGCTTCTTGGCAGGATTCAGCTCCTCAAGGGGCTGTTGGACTCCAGGCCTCGGTTCCCACCTGACTGCCAGCCAGAGGCATCCTCGGTGCCCCACGGGCACTCTCCTGTAGGGCAACTTACTTGATAAAGCAAGCAAGATGAGAAGGCCATAGAGGCTGATAGCAAGGTAGATGTCACAGCCTGTCGTAATGCACTCACAGAGTGACAGCCCATCACCTATGCTGTATTTGATTGCTTAGGCTAAGTCACTAGCCCACGCTCCCTCCCTAAGGAGGGGATCACACAGTGTCTGGACACCCAGGGATGGGGCTCACAGGGCCATTTGCGAAGTCTGCCTACCACATCTCGTGTCTGTCACATGACACCAAAGGAATGGTGGACTTAAAACCCGAGGACACAGCATGGCTTGTCCACCCCCAGCTGACCTTGTTGGTCTCTCCCACCTCTGAGGCTGTATCTGTTTCGTTGTCTGGCTGAGAAGAGGTGGATCTGCCGATCTGGAAGTGGCCAACAAGGCGTGAAGCAGCCTGGGTGCATGGGCCAGCACAGACGTGAGCGGGGCAGCCACATTGGAGGAGCTGGGACTCAGGACAGCCTATGGGCATGGGGCACAGGAGGGATTGTCCTGAAGGATTCTTCACGAGGAGTGGATTTTATCTTTATTCTCAAGGGTCTGCCAGTGTCAAAGGAATTTGCTATAAAGACTCCTTCATAAGTTGGAGTGGTTTTTTTAAATATTTTTTCCAGTGTTTATCTTAGCGCGTGAACAGGGGACGGGCAGAGAGAGAGGGAGGCCCAGAATCCAAAGCAGGCTCCAAGCTGTCAGCACAGAGCCTGACATGGGGCTCGAACCCACGAACCGTGAGATCATGACCTGAGCCCAAGTCAGATGCTCAACTGACTGAGCCACCCAGGCGCTCCAGGGCAGAGCTTTTTGATCAGATCCTCATGATCCCCACTGAACTTTGGGGGGGTGACCTTGGCCATTGGGCATGTTGCATTCCACCCTGGAAGCATCATCCAGCCTCTGGACCCAGTGTGTTGTATGAATTTATGACTTCCGTATACCATGGTGCAGAAGAAGCTGAGAGGCACAGAGTCGAAGGTCTCATTGGACTAAGAGATCCATGCAGGAGGGAACAGCCCTTGAGGCCGGCTCTCTTCTTGTTGCCCGGACTTCTCCCTCAGGTGTGGAGTGTGGATTGATTCTTTATGCTCCCGTCTCAACCAGCCCCTTGCTGCGGGTCGTTTTCCATCACAGGTTTTATCTATTATTGATGAAGTATGGAGAAGGCAGTGGTGAATAATTAAGTAGGTTTCAGGTGCTGATTGAACATTAAAGGAAGGAAAGAATGAAAATAAGAGAGCCAGGGAAAGAATTCTGAATTCTGTGTGCCAACAGGACACTACGTGTAGACATTTTCTGTAACTTTGCCGAAGGCCTAGTGGTTTTCTTCATGGTTTGTCTGATTATGGTGGTTCTCTGGTTAATAACTGAACATATTATAAGCTTTCCATAGCAGCAGTGAAGATTGTAATGGCTTCAGCCTGCCCTCAGTGGTTCACGAATCCAAACCAAAGCAATGTTGAAGAATGATAGTGGGGGAAATGGCTTCTCCCATGAGTTCGGGAGAGTCCACAGGTGGGGAGTGTTCAATCTGGACACTTGAGAATCAACACCCAGAGATTTTCTGTCTTTTAAATAGTTAATGGAAAGAAGAAAGCATTTGAGAGATGCCCAGTGCTGTAAATGGGCTCCTGCACTGCTCGCCATTTTGAAAGGGGCTTTCTTGAATGGGGACCGACAGCTATAGGAATTGCATCACACCGACCTGGATTATAGTAGGTGCAGTCTGACTACCAGCAGGCATGGCCAGAAACATGGCAAGAGGGAGAGAGAAGGACACCCTGTTTCCAACTCTGGCCTGCAGAGTTGGCCACAGCACAGGAAGCCACAGCATGGGTGGATTTTGCAGCTGTGAACTGTTCAGGTCCTTGGCTTCTCTTTTTTCTACCTTTTGACCCTATCACAGCTCACTAACCAAGAAGACGCAAAGAAAGACCTGTCAGCATGTGTGATAAAGGGCTTGGTGAGAAGAAAGGCTGAAGCCAGCATTAAGGCTGAGTCTCGCGGGTGCTCCGGGCCCTCCTTCTCTCTTGCACCCGCATCCTTCCCCATTGCCATGGCGTGTTACGAAGTAGATCGGCGCTGGGAGGTCTGTGTCCCATCTTCAGCCCTCGGAACCAGCCTGGCCACCTGTTTCCACGAGCTTCCTCCAGTTCGTTTTTCCACCTGCATTTGTCTTGACCTTCCTCTCCTCTGCCGAGGGCCAGTGGACATGGCCCAGCTCTTGAGCCTGACTTGAGATTACCTGTTGATTTGGGTCAAACCATGCTGGCCCTGGGGACAGCTTTCTTTGGTGTGTTTGTAGGGCTCGCCTGCCACATCCCCCTTACTCGGGGTGCAGTGCAAGGATATTGGGGGCACGCAGCAAATGTACGGGGTGGCGTGTCTACATTCAGCGTCCTGGCCTGCAGAGGCATGGGCCCTGCATGGCACCGTGTGCCCAGGTGCATTCTGATGCAGGCACCGAGAGGGCCCCCGTTTCCCACCTTCCACCCCTCCTTTACACATGAGCTGCGTGCTTTTTCACAGGTTCTATAAACGTAGCAGAGTTTAGAGTGTGTGAAAGTTTCTGGTTGCACCTCAGATCCGAGTTTATTTTCCCCAGAAATAGTAGGCGTCACTGCCAGAAGGGGTAGGCCGGCCCCTTCTCACAGACATCAGGTGATGGCGCGCGACCAGTGACATACGACTGCCGGGGGCCTTTCGGGCGCCCAGGGGTTAATGCCGATGAGCCGGACACCCCGGGAGGTGGTCACATCTCCTGTTACAAGTTGCGTTATCGACTTGTGCATCTAACACCCTGGAAACAGTCCACCAGACGGGCGCTGAGGTCAGGAGTTAGCCTCAGCTCACAAGTAGAGGCACCAGAGCTCGCCCTGCTGCCCAGATAGCACCCGGAGAGATGGAGAATTTTTGGATGTACCAGTTCGAGTGTCACGATGAAGAGGTAGGTGGATCCCAGGGCTTCAGAATGATGTTTGCCTCGTCGCCCTCGGCGTTCTAACCCTCGTACTGTGAGATTGTAAATTCTCTGCGCTTCCCTCCGTGCTCAGGGTATAGGAACAGAGCAGGAGAGTGGGCATTCCCCAGGGTGGGTGGGAAATGCAGCCAGGTCCGCCTGTTACTTGGAAGGTCAGGACGACCTGTAGAGAGAGGAGGCCATTTGATCACGTAGATGCTGGGCTCTTTGCTTCCTCCCCAGCAGCTTTGTGTTCTAATGAAAGAGTGACTGTGGGTCCCGTGGTCTCCCCTTCTGTTCTCTGTGTTGTCTTTTGCTTTCATGATGCTAACGACGATGAGTGAGCTTGGTGTCTTACGCATTAGGAACTGCTTTGCTAGACAAGGTGATGGGCCTAACGTACCCTGACCAGGGCCCGGCACATAGTAAGCCTTCCAGACATGGCGGCTGTCCTTGGTAGGTGATGTGTTATTACAGCAAATAACGTGCTCTTGGCTGCATCGCTTAACGTAAATTACAAGTGACTTCGGTTTTTCCTCTTACGGAACTCAGGTCTGGAGGTCTGGGAAGGAAAGTGCAGGTCCCTGATGGGGAAATAAGAGGTTGGCCCCCTCACTTGTCCATCACAAATTGTAATGCATTTCAAACACCCAGAGTGAGGCCCTTTCAAAGGGTAAAAGATAACCTGTATTTCCGGATGGGCTTTATCAGCTGGTAAGTTACTTCAACTTAAAGTAATGACACTGGTTAATAGTTAATTCGGCCTTTTTTTTTTTTTTTTTTTTTTTTTTTTTTTTTTTTTTTTTTGGCCTTTGAGCCGGTGGCTTCAGAAGCTTAAGGCCCTTTTGATGGTAATAAAATGAATTGCTTGCTGACAGTGAGAATGCCTCTCTTTGAGGAGACGCCTGCATTGCAAGGCTGTCTCTGACGTCCAAGGTGGTCCAGGGCTTGGGAGCACCCGCCCTGCTGCTCCCCCCCACCCCCCCATGGGAAAAGAGAGAATAAAAATGGTTAGAATATTTTAACCGACAGTTATCTCAAAATGTTCCGTTGGTATTAATTGAATCCATTATAAATGTGTATATAAAACACTTCATTAGGCCCAGGCTATTATCATTTTAATGACATAATTATGCCCCTACAATGCCTGTGCTAACTTTCCTACTTCACCACATTAAGGAAACAGAAATGTGCATTGATAATATAGTTTGAATTGAGAGTGAGTAATTACGGATTTCTTAACCGGTTTCAATTTTCAAAAGCACAAACATGTCTTGGAGCAAGAGAAACCTAATCATATATTTGTTTCTTTTTTTATAACTCTAACGTGGAGCAGGGCGAATTTAAAACAACTTAAATCAGTGAGGAAAACAATGTGTGTTTATTTGAGAAAGGGGATAGAGCTGGGTCAACCAAGATGCGCAGCAAAAAAGCTATTCGGGGATGCCGGAACTCGCGAAGCCCCACACAGTCCCTGGAGCAGAAGGTTATGTCCCATCACCTGCCACAGGCAACCACGCCTTTGAAATCCCATATAGAACCGGAGTGGTCAGCCTGGTGAGGAATTGAATGACCAAGTGCTTGATTATGGTCTGTTTGAAATGCTGCCTTTGAGAGTTCTTGTCGTATCCACAATACTCGTCACATGAGGACGTGTGATTTGCAAGCAGTGTCGGACAAGCAAAGAGGCCATGATCAAGGAACAGTGAACAGAACCCTGATCTGCACTTGGGTACTGATACTGTGTGAGCACATAAGTGCAGTGCTACGTGGGTTCAGGACCAACTCTGTGCATCAACGTATTTTGTGTCTTCTTTGTCCTCCAGTACAAAACGATCGATGTCTGTGCGTGCTTCCCTGTGTTCGACATATTTATCAGGCTCCTGTTGTATATTTTATGGAGAACCTCGTAAACCTTAAATAATCACATGCTGGGTTCCTTAGCTGGTTAAGCTTCCGAGCTCGTGATCTCGGCTCACGGTTGTGAGATTGAACTCTGAGTCAGGCTCTGTGCTGGCGTGAAGTCTGCTTAAGATTTTCTCTTCCTTTCTGTATGCTCCTCCCCTGCTCACGTCACGTACGTGGTCATTCTCTCTCTCTCCCTCAAAATAAATAATCACATCCTGCCCTCATAGTGCTTATTAAAGCATTGTAATTAAACTATCCTATAGTATTTCAATAAAACATAAAGGAAAAAGTGACGTATATAAGAACAGCACTAGTGAGGGGCGCCTGGGCGGCTCAGTTGGTTACGTGTCCGACTTCGGCTCAGGTCATGATCTCGTGGTCCGTGAGTTCAAGCCCCGCATCAGGCTCTGTTCTGACAGCTCAGAGCCTGGAGCCTGTTTCAGATTCTGTGTCTCCCTCTCTCTCTGACCCTCCCCTGTTCGTGCTGTGTCTCTCTCTGTTTCAAAAATAAACGTTAAAAAAAAAGAACAGCACTAGTGAAACATCAGCAATTCTCATGGGAGAGGGCTCCCACTCACCGAAGAGAATAGGAAAGATTTCACTAAAGAAGTAACACTGGAAATGAGGCTTTGGAGGCTCATGGACATGTGCAGTTGAGACAAGAACATGGACAAGGACAGTGCACAAAAACCCTCAGGTTATATACAGGAAGCAGGAAATAGCTCAGTTTGGCTTGATGGTAGAGAATAATAACCGGAAGGGGGAAAAGTGGTGAAGAAACCAAGGCCAAACCTTGGAGTGCCTGAAGTGCCGGAGTAGAGTCTGGGATTTATTGTCTACACAAGCAGGAACCGCGGAAGTTTTTAAATTGAGGCGTGATTGCTCAGAGCTTGTTAAAATTGTATTTAAAAAAAAATGGTTATTGTTTATTTGTTTTTGGGAGAAAGACAAAACACGAGTGGGGGAGGGGCAGAGAGAGAAGGACACACACAGAATCTGAAACAGGCTCCAGGCTCTGAGCTGTCAGCACAGAGCCCGCCACGGGGCTCGAACTCACGAGCTGTGAGATCATGACCTGAGCCCAAGTTGGACGCTTAACCGAATGAGCCACCCAGGTGCCCCTAAAGTTGTATTTTAAAATGGGAGTCAACAGGTACTTAGTGAAAGGTCTCTGGTTGTCTTAGTCAGTCTGGGCTGCTGTGTAAGAAAGACACCGCAGACGGGGTGACTTCAACAACAGAAAATGGGGCGCCTGGGTGGCTCAGTCGGTTAGGTATCCAACTCTTGATTTCAGCCCAGGTCATGATCTCCCGGTTCTCGTGATATCAAACCCCACATTGGGCTCTGCGTGCACAGCACAGAGCCTGCTTGGGATTCTCTCTCTCCCTCTCTCTCTCTGCCCCTCCCCTGCCTTGTGCACGCATTCTCTCTCTCTCAAACGTATTAAAAAAAACCAAACGTATTTACTTCTCACAGTTCTAGAACCTGGGAAGTCTGAGATCAGGGTGCTTGCATGGTCAGCTACTGGTTTAGACCCCCTTCCTTATTGGCAGACAGCCACATTCTTGCTGTGTTCTCGCACGGTGGAGAGCAGAGACAGGAAGGAGGCTCTTTTGTGTCTCTTCTTGTAGGGGCACTAATCCCATTACGAGAGCTCCATCCCTGCGACCTAATTACCTCATAAAGGCCCCGTCTTCTCATACTACCCCACTGGGTGCTAGGGTCTCAACATCTGAATTTGAGGGGGACACAGTTCATAGCACTAGTGAAGAAGGTCCATGAGCACTTGGTGCTTGGGCCTCATGGGGTATGTGGGTTGCTTGGTGACTTTAAAAAAAACTAGGGGTGCCTGGGTGGCTCAGTCAATTGAGCGTCCAACTTCAGCTCAGGTCATGATCTGATCACATGATCAGGTCACAGTCCGTGGGTTTGAGCCCTGCGTCGGGCTCTATGCTGACAGCTCAGAGCCTGGCGCCTGCTTCAGATTCTGTGTCTCTATGTCTCTCTGCCCCTCCCCCGCTCATACTCGTGTCTCTCTCTCAAAAAGAATAAATGTTAAAAAAAATTAAAATAAAAAAAAAATTTATTCTCAGGTGCTGTGTCTCGCTCTACACAGGTGAAATTACTAAATAACCCAGTCACACATTTGGTAAAACTGTGTCATTTTTAAAGGATTATTTTCTCCTACCTTTTGTCAACGTGGAATTTTTGTCACTGAGTTTCCTTGGAAGAAATGACCAACGTGTGCTGGGACTGCTCAAGGTTGGCTAGAGCCAGCCGGAGTCTTTCACCAAGGTCCTCACGGAAGGGTATCTCGGTAGGTCTTGGGGTGGCTTTGTTGTAAATTAACACCTGCATATGCACCTGATTCTTTTTTTTGTAACTCCCTCGCCATGATAGCATCACCCTCAACCCTCGCGCTGCAAGATGCTGTCTGGACTGGGAGACAGCGGGCATGCCAGAAATCACACACGGTTGTTGTATATACCCCCAGCCGTAGCCGGGAATGTGCGGTTCTCACCAAGATACCTGTAAGAGTCTGGGGGCCTATAAATTAATTTAGAGTCTATTGTAGTATGATTTTAGAGAGCCTTCTACGTGCTCTTTAACTTTAGCCATGTGTAGAAGTTTAATAAGGAAGGAAACAAGAAGAGGGAGACGAGGAAAGCATCTCCATGGGTACGTGTTATCCTGGTGAGCACTTCCCCATGGGGGGACGTGATTGTCGTTGCCGCTGGAATCTTAAAAGACTCGTCAGACGTTGGTTGTGTGCCTTGTGCATACACAGGCCCTGAGCTCGTGCCCTGTGTACGTGGTCGCCGATGAATCCTCATGTCCGCCCCAGGAGGTGGGTAGTAACCGGTTTCCTCAATTCTCAGGAGGATCAGAGAAGGATGAGTCAGAGCAGTGAGTGGGAGAGCGGGATTCAGATGCTGGTCTGCCCGCTCCTGCGGCTGGAGCCTTCTGCTATCTTGCTATCTTGAAACCTCGAGAGCTTTACTTGTTCTGCCACATTATAAAATTAAAACATGCCAGCCTTCTTCTTTGTTCTTTATCCCGGCCTCTTTCCAAGGACAAAT